CGTATCTTTGAGAGAAAGAGAGAGCAACATCAGGAGTAAAGAGAAAAACATGAAATTTTATGTCGTGACGACAACCGTTTGATCGACAACACCGAACGACGAGATAAAAACATTGAATATTGTGACGAGGAAGATCCCAACAACTGTCCAATTGTTGGCCTTGTTCGCCTTACACATTTGCTCATGTTCCTTGACATTGTAGACACTGTTCCATATCAGACCAATACCCACAGCAATCTGTAAGAACAGGCTCATGCTGATCATGACGAGTGACGGATAGAAGTACGGATGCCGGCCGTCAGTCTGGAGAACGTAGCGCATCTGATTCGCGTTTGCGGACAACAGCGCCAGATCCATCATACCCTGGGCTAGGGTCTTCTTGTGCTGGTAGACATTCACGTCCGGAGTGATGACCTGTACGGCAGGCGTAGGAGGAAAGATGTTGCTGGACCAGTCAGCTTGCGTTCCCACGGGTAATCCCGGTCCATTTCTGCTGTCGAAGCCGATCGGCGCAGATGGTTTTTTATCCACGACGGACTCCGTTACAGTGACCGAATCCGATCCCTGTGGATTGTCGGCGAGATTTTCGTCAATCTCTGAGACGAAACCAGCGCGCAGCCCGATGGACGGCGCTTCTGCCTCCGTGTCGGTGGACGTCAGGGGCCTCGAAACCTCGTCGTTAATCTCGTCCAGATACAATATTTCATCATTGCCAAGCTTCTTTGTTCCATTCATGTTGGAAAATCGTAGAGAATCGGTTGAAGAAATCACCTGCGAAACAATATAATTTTTCATATCACTTCAATTTTTATTCTATCATTGTTTGAAAAAACACCATTCTACAGTCAGAGAAAAATATAGCAATTATAAAGAATTATACAACTATACAGATATAGATAAGAATTATACAACTATAGATTTACACGAAAAATTTCCCGAAATTTGCGAATAAAAATATTATATTATGAAAGTTCTCGAAAAAATATAAATTACAGAAGTATTTAAAATTTGTTCTAAGCGGTACTTTTTGAGATATGAAGGTTCGAAACTTGCCCCTAGAGATTATATGTGGTTTGTTTTTGAATAGGACTTCCGACCACAATAACAAAGATATTCTCGGCTATCAGAGATAAAAGCATAATGGTGATAAAACATAAAAGTGATAACTTTATAAGTGTTATATATAGAATTAATGTACACATATATAATTGAATAGACTATTTTATAATTATTACATATATATAATAGTTTATTCACTATATGTATACATTAATTTTACATATAAAACTTATAAAGTATAATTCCATATAAAATTTTGTGTAAATTTTATTTATACATTTTGTTACATTATAAAATTAAAAAAAAACAATAGAAATTCTATAGGCGCTAATGAATTAAATTAATTAAGAATAACAAACTTGTGAGAGTTGCAATTACATCCAATGCTGAATGTAATTGCAATCAAGTTTTATTGTATATAACAATTAAGTAAAACATTTCGATCCTCCGATTGGATCCTCTTCAGTAAATACATAATTGATAAATTAAAATATATACAAAAAATGTAATTAAAACGTTAAAATGTACTTAGAAAATTAGATTGTGTTAAAACTTACAAAAATATTGTTTGTCTTATATGTGAACTGTGGATAAGTCAATTCGCATCCATATGTCAAAATTGTCCACTAGATTTTTAAGTTTATTAAATAATGAGTTACGTCGATAATATAAATATGTAATAAATAAAATTGAAATCAGAGTGGTGGTAATTAATTAAAACTTATATGGATGTTTAAAGATTGGCATATTATGTGAAGTTGACAAAGTGCTTGTCATGGTGCATTGTCTAATGAGAACGTTTGTCACACAATAACACAAATTGACCTACAATAAAACTATGGAAGAGGAGGAAGCATCAATTTTAAAAAATTAAAGTAGCGTATAACGGATCCAAAAATTCTGTGTCACTTTGTACATTCAAGTCATTTTTCTGTTTATATGTATGTAAATCATTTCTATTAGTCGTTTGTTTAAGAACCTTTCTATATCCAAAATTTTTTTATTCTCCCAATCAAAATCATGTGCAAATTCCTGTCTATGTGCCGTAATAACCGAGTGTTGTGATGTTTTCCAATTAATATGGTTCCTATGTTCCTTAATTCTTGTCTTTAACATCCTACTGATTTAATTTTTAATTTCTAAAAATTGATGCTTTTCTTTCTTCTATAATTATTGAAGATCTATTTGTGTTATTGTGTGACAAACGTTCTCATTAGAGAACGTCATCCATGACAAGCGCTTTATCAACTTTGTACAATATGCCAACATTACATGGATATTTCCAAATATCCATGTAAGTTTTAATTTAATTAATTTCCATCAGTCTAATTTCAATTTTATTTATTACGTATTTATACTATTGACGTAACTCATTTAGTAAACTTGGAAATCTAGTGAACAATTTTTGACATATGGATGCGAATTAACTTATCCACATCAGTTTACATTAAGACGAACAATATTTTTGTAAGTTTTAACATAATTTAATTTTCTAAATATATTTAACAATAATTTTTTTATTGTATATAATTTAGTTTATCAATTATGTATTTACTGAAGAGAATTCAAATCAAGGATCGAAACGTTTCACTTATTTAATTGTAATATACGATAAAACTTGATTGCAATTACCAGCATTGGCTCTCATTAGGCTTGTTATTCTTAATTAAAATTTAAAAAAATGCTGAGTAAATTGAATAAACTATTTTATACAATAATTATTGCAGTTACAGAATAATTTTTTCACTTGTACTTGTACAATTCTACATATAAAACTTATACAGTTATCACTTTTACAGTTGCCATCATTGTTTTTTTTTCTTATATTCAGGAATCTTTATTATCGCGATCCGTGAATGAATAAATTGATTGAACATTCACTTTTTGTATTGCATCGCTACATATTTATTTCTAACAACTGTTGCCATGAATCGCGACTAATTGCCATATATAAAACACACTCACTCTTGTGTCTTTTAAATCTAAAACGTAAATATCTTTTGAACGGCTAAACTATTTCATTCAATTGTTATTATAATGTATCACTTTTTCTTCGTTTCATAACTTCTTTAGCTATTTAAGTTAGCACTTTGTAATTACATCCCTTGCAATTGTACTTTATAACTTTTAATTTATAATTCACAACATGAACATTTGGCAATTTTAGTTTTTATCCGCTGGTCGCTCAACAAGTGTGTCTTTAAAGAACGTAATCGAGCATATTTCTTTAGCAATTTAAAAAAATTATTTGTTTTCTTTCAATATCACTCACTCACCGTATTTTAAAACACTGCAAGTGTCTTCTCTGACTTTACAGAACGAACAAAGGATTCACGATGTGGGTTGTCCGAGTGTCCGATTCGATGTTCTCCGATCTACTGGTCTCGTTGCCGCGCGCGGCAACTGATTCATCCATCCTCACGTCACGATTGCCATACTATACGACGTTATACTGGGAACGTATCATGGCCGCGTAGTTTCCCCGGGTTTCATGTCATAGGAAAACGTACGCGATCGTTACCGTAATTAAAGCTACGCACGGTCCGGTAAGCTATTAACACTCGCTGTAGAATTCTTCCTATCTCCTCGTAGAATCTTTCTCGTAAGCTGCAATCGCTCTGCAAGATGAACTAATGAACATTTTTTTCTATAATTGAACATTTTGTTTTTTAATCGAGCGCAATTTTGATCCTGAAAGAAAAAAGCCACCGTAATTAATCTTTCGAATTATTAGCTCCTGTTATTTTTGTTATTATGTCACAGTTAGATATTATAATTTCATTATATTTATAATTTTTCATTATACATATGTAATACAATATAATAGTACGAAATCTTTTTAATTATTAATTTCTGCTATTTTTGTAATCATGTCAACGTTAGATACTATAATTTTAGTTATAATTCCTCTTTTGTATAGAATATACAGGATATTTGATAATTCTTCTGACGGAGTTCGTGGACATGTAGAGTGGACTAAACTGAGATGAAAAGTCCTGTACTATTTTGCAATTTTTACACATTTTTATTTGAGTACAAAATTATTGAAGACTAATTTTCGGCAATGTTTAACAATTAATGTCTTATTAATTATTGTAAAATGGTAGAGGGCTTTCTGTCTCAGTTTAGTCCTCAGTTTAATATCTACATATCCACGAATTCCGTCAGAAGAATTATCAGACATCCTGTATATAATATAGTAAACAATGTAATTACTAGCTGCTATTATTTCTGTTATATCAGAGTTAGATGCTAATTTCAATTATGATATATAATATATATCCAGATAATATTTTGCAGGCATTTTGCTGAAAATTTATCCTCATTTGATGCAATATTGCAAACAAAGAAACACACAAACTGTAATAGAATAACTTTAAAATAATTTTGTGGCAGTAATTGTGATAAAAGTGTTTGATTATGGCAATATTTCGGAAAAATTGAAGCAATTTTACTTATCATTAAAAGTTAATTTGGCAAAATTATGGCAACATACAAGCAAAATTTTATTTAGCAAATTAGCATGACAACATTATGACAAGAAGTATCAGCAAATAAATTACACTGCTTTGCTTTTGCACGAATTGTAATCTGGGTAATAGTAAGTAACACATTATAATACAATAAAATAATACATATTAATATATTATAATAGTACAATCTAAATATACATACATACTTTAGATCGTTCCTTCTTGAGGGAATGATTTAATTAAACTAGCTATGAATTTTCAACAAAATATACATTTGACATTTAATCGTCGCACTTTGTTGTATCCTCTTTCATGCATTGCAAATGTTTTATTGGTAATATAGAGAAACGGAATAGAATCCAACGACATCAGTTCACGACTGTCTCGTGTACTGACCATGTGTCTCGACCACGATTTAGAGTCACGCTTCAAGGTCTTCTTCCGGCGAAACGATTCGTGGAAGGGAGAATGGCAATGATCCAGGAAGGCATTCGCGGATTCGTCGCTATAAGTATAAATACGTTGTCCGCATTTATTCTCCCGCTTCAGTCGCTATAATCACAAGAGTGACGGTGTTTTTTCTTCAAATACCTGCTTCGCGTGATAATGGTATTCATAATATTCATGAGACACTTTGCATTTCTGCATCCTCGATCTACAGGTACAAAGGTGATCTACATTTTGCATCTGTCCCGCCGATCTAGAATATAATTTTGAGAAAGCGTCATCGGGTGTTTCCCGAGGTTCCTCGGACTTTCCGCGTTACATTTACATGACGTAAATTGACGCGCGCGTACATTACTGCGGGAAATTGACGATTTCGAATACGCGTATGGACCCGATAGAATAAAACTGACAGAAACTCTGAATTAAGTCATCTACACGACCTTCTTTCAGTTGCTCTCGCAAATGTTGATTATGAGATAATTAATAGTACGCGGTGAACACCAACTAACAATAATTACATGATATATCTATATGTATATAAATTTCTCACTTAATATAAATGTGATGTAACGCATATTTTACGTAACAATTAAGTAAGAAATTATGATAATGCTGTATAATGTTATAATTTCCTATTCAATTCACTGTTAATTGATGTTTACTGGAGTAGAGTAGGAAGATATAATAATCATGAATTAAATTAAATACAAATTAAATTAATAACAAAGGCTACGAGCCAATTAAAATTAATTACATTTAATATTTAAAATTAGATTAGTAAAAAATACAAACGTTTTCGACGCTGATCGGGTCATTCTCAATGTTAGAAAAATAATTACAATAAATGTTGGATTCTTATATTACAAAAATAGTATTCTGTACGTTATAAAGATTTTTTAAAATGTAGATACGTATCAAATGCTTTATGTCTTCCTTCTTTGTTACGAATATATTCTATTGAGATATTAAAAGTGAAACGTTAAAATCGCTCAAGATAATCGGGACGTTCATGATACTCGCATTTTTCTTCAATGAAAAGCAATTTATTTAAAAGAAAATTTTCAAAGAAATCAGTTGTTAAGTAACGAATACAATTAATAAATAATTACACTGTATAAAAGAAATCACTAACAATAATCAAAAGTAAACGAACAGAAGAAACAACTTTTTTAAACGTATAAATGCATTAAAAAATCATTAGAGTTATGTTAATATTAATATCAATTGCAGATTAAAAATGAACAAATCAATAAATCAGTGCACATTAAAATACAAAATTATAAAGTTCGTCTACTTTTAATTATTGTTAGTGGTTTTTTTTATACACTAATTATTTATTAATTGTATTCGTAACTTAACGACTGGTTTCTGCGACAACTTTTTTTCAAATACATTACTTTTCATTGAAGAAAAATGCGATCATGATTATATTGAGCGATTTCAACGTCTTACTTTTAATATCTCAATAGATCATATGTTCGTAACAAAGAAGGATGATATAAGCATTTGATACGTATCTACATTTTTAAAAATCTACTTTATTACAGAACTCTATTTTTGTAATAGAGAATCCGACATTTATTCTAACATTATTATTCTAACATTGAGAATGATCGGATCGGTGTCGAAACGTTGTACTTTTTATTAATCTTTAAATATTAAACTTAAATATTATTAATATTTTAAATATTATTTAATTTTAATGTATTAAATATTATTAGTATGTTAATAATATTTAAAACATGTATTAATATGTTAATATATATTATTAATATATATTTAATGTTTTAAATATTATTAATTTTAATTGGCTCGTAGCGCTTGTTATTACCTATATTTGATTTATTTCAATTGAGCCATTCTATTAATTTATATTTTAATTACGAATGAAACAATAATAATGATGTATAATAATATAAATATGAATAAATATGAAAGCGTAATTATTTATCATAGCAAGTTTGCTATCGAATTATCCCTAAATCCCGATTATGAGATAATAGTACCCAGTAAACATTAACTCTAATATTATATTAATAATATAAATTTCACTCAACAATATAAATGCAATATGTAACACGTGTTATATATATAACAATTAAGTAGGAAATTATAACATCGATGTAATATTATTGTTAATTTACTGGAGTAGGATAATAATGGCAATAATAATATAAATTACAATAAGTATAAGATATGCAAACGTAAGCATTTGCTCTAATAACTGTAGCGTGTTCGCTATCGAATTATCATGTCGCTAGGGAAACCGGTTAAGAAAGAGTGGGAAGAAAGTATTTCGCGATCGAGAGATTCTTATGGTGGTACTCAGGTTTTCCAGATTTGGCTAAAAATGGAGAACGGCGATAAGCAGCAGCGACGATTCGCGTCAAACTTTCCTTCGAGCTTCTCTCGTTGGAAGATGTGCTTTGGAGATGCGTCTTCGTTCCTTCTAATTGCTCATTAATAATGAATTGCGTGTCCGTTAAAGCGACGAGTAAGCGGCAGATAAAGTAGTCGATTAACGAATGATATGGAATCACGCGAGCATTATGCTCATTGTTGCGCGAAATCAATCGTCCGTTATAAGAACAATGATTCCTGATCATTAATTTCAGTACATCTCGGAAAAGTGGATAACCTTCTCTCTGAAAAGTTACTTGCTTGAATGTTACAAATCCTGGACCTTCGAGGAAGAAGAACGGAGGAATGGTATGGTAATTTTTTCTTCTTGTTTTCTTTTCTTTTTGGATCACCGAGGAGAATCCAATATAACATTGGCAGGCTCAAGATTTCTTTGTACCTAAAGCAATACTCTCTTAAAATTATTATTAAAAAATGAATGAATTAATTAAAAATGTTAAATATAAATTAATAATTATTTAACATTAGAGAAGAAGGTGTTATGGCCAATGTATGTATATATTGTGACTTTCCTTAATATCTCCGCTATTATATATTCTAATGACTACTTATGAAATTATTTATTCAGTAGCTTGTTGTTACATCATGACGCTAATATACTCAATAGCCAGCATTTATTATAACGTATTTTTATTTCAAAATGTTTTTGAGGTACATTTTAGCATTTAATTACACTTATTTTCTCATTTTTCTTAAACTTGAACTATCATGCGAATGTATATATATATATATATTTGAGTGTGTTGTTTGCTATTTAATATTTTATTTAATGATATATGGGATGTTTGGAAAATCATAGTAAATTTTTCGCATAGAGGTAGAATGGATTAAACTGAGAAGAAAAATTCTCTACTATTTTGCAATTTTCGCAATAGTTAACAAGGTGTTAATTGTAAAAAATTGCCAAAAATTGATCTTCAATAATTTTTTTATTCAAATACTATTACTTTTACAGAAAAAGCAAGCAACAAAAATTGTTTATTTTCTTTTCGTGTTTACTGTTCAGTAGAATTGATCACTTACAGTTGACAATTAATCACCTATTTAATTAATCGAATTGATAAACCAGTCCTTTGTATATAAACAGTAAACAAATGGTACTGTAATTTATTTAAATCTAATGATATGTATCATAAAAAAATTTGATATCAATAAAATTGACATCAAGTTAAAATCCTCAAAATTTTATGTATCATTCGTAAAAAAGATTTGATATCAACAATTAGCGCCAAATTAAATTCCATGTAATTCGGATACCAAATTAAATAAATAATATTAACTTTAATGATATGTAAAATTAATAATAAGTATAGGGCTACGAGCCAAGCAAGGTCTTAATACTGAGTTATTATGAAACAAAAGTTTATTATAATAAACGTTTGGATTCCAATTGGGCCATTCTCAATGTTGAAATTAATACAATTTGAAATCAACGATTTATTTGATAAACAATAACTTGCCAATACATATGATAAGATTTAGCCGGTAATTGTAATAATAAATATATAAATTCGTAGTGTATGTACAATTTCGTTATGGATGATTGTGAGCATTATTTAATATAAACGCGAAAAAATAAATAATGAAATAATATATTCGGATAAGAACGTGAACATATACGTTACAGCGCATAATGATCATCAAATAGCTATCCTATAAAGTGATCCTTAAAAACGTAGCAACGGTTCTGAATTGCACTTTCAAACTAACAAATGAATCAACTCTGAATATTATCTAAAAACATAATTTACATAATTTAAAAGATTGTATAAATAATTTACAAAAATAAATATAAGTCACAAGCTATAAAAATTTCTCAATTCATACACAAAATATTATGATGATACGGTTATTAAATAAAATAGAAAATTATATGTCTAATGATAAAACGATTATAAAAACACATGAATAAAATTAAAATTTGTATATAT